TCCTGATTCAAATTTCCTAATTTATTCTAATTATTCTAATTCAGTTATTCTGGCTTAAATAAATTTATAATGTAAAGAAATATGCAAGAAAATGGAAAATTAAGGTAAGAATCTAATGTAGCTAACACATGGTCTCCCGGTAATTCGACCTTTTAAATACCAACGAATTTTAAGTAATACGTGTCACTTAAAACTGATCGTTTGCAAAATAAATCTAAGTTGTTCTTTCAAGAGAAAGAAATATCTGTATTAAGAAATTGTGGATTATACTTTATTAGATATAATTGTTATGTGTAGAAACTCGTTTTACTAAATTTATACTCATTTTAAAAAATTCTTATTACCCTCCAAAAAGGAGTTTTTTTTAACGTTTCATGTATTACCTGTATTTACTTTACCTATATTTACTAAATGTATTACCTAAAACATGTGTTACCTATATTTACTAAATATCATGTTCTTCGCAATTGAGCCACATAAAATTGAATTCAACATCAATACAACAAAATATTTAAAAGCATCATATCGTTAGGATTTCCCACAGACAGTCTCGCGCGCTGGATATAAAATGTTTTTTTCGTAAAGTGACGCCATTTCTTGTTTTGAAATCGTTGTGTTTGTTAATCATAAATTCTGTAAAGTTTTACAGGTATGAAACAGATAATAAAATAAATTCGAAATTCAAAATTCGGGCTCCCAGGGCCCATGTTCGGGTGAAGGATTACGTTATTCAAAATTTGATGTTCTAGGTTCCGTCTTTTTATCACAATGCGAGAACCATACATACATTCATGCAGATTTTTCATTATTTAATTTCTCTAAATATAATTCAGGGCGATAATATTTGGTGGTAACAATTTAAAAAGAGATTCACCGTTTACAGTGAAATGCCGCAGAATGCCGTTTTGAGACTAATATCCCTTGTTGGCTACCGCGCCTTTGGGTTAATAATCAAATGTTTGCCCTTTTATTTATTTACTAAAAGTTGCATTTTATTGGGTAGTTGAATAAAATATAATTTAAATGGTTTTTAATTAAAGAAAATTAAATGTTCGAGAAAACATACATTTAAAATAAATGATTTTGAAACGAATACCATAATTTAATTTTCTTCCATGTTATTTCTATACTATCAACAAATCTAAATTCATTTTGACCTGCGCGTATATCCCCGGGATATTTAGGTAACAGTAGCAATGATAGTCAGTTTTTTGGAATTACAACTGAATAATGAGTACCGTAGTTCAGGGATTCGTATGGAGAAAAGCACTATGTGTTTTCGAATTTCCTGTTTGTACCTCCTCATCATCAATAGCGCCAGAGGGTACATTTCTTTTGGTAACATGCCTAAATTACAACAATTTTGAAGATCTGCTATGAAACCCTGTTATAAAAATCCTCTTCTTCTGGGGCTTGATATAAATAAATACCATGTCTGAATACACTAAAAATACCCTTAATATGGGGTGCATTATTTTAGAATAAACTCTTATTATAGTGATTCAGTAATTCTCAAAGAAATTCTGTTAAGAGTTCAAAATAAAGCACTACATGCGGTTTATGATATGCAGCCAAAATCTAATATATTTTTCTCAGTCATAATTGTATATGAATCCTATATGCATATACGAATATTAAATACCGAATCTGAGAAATTTTGGATTACATCAAAATTTAATTTTGAATGGGCTCAGAGATTCATGTAAAGTAGCATTTCCGATTGACAAATTTTAGCCAAAGTCTAATTATGTTATTCCAACTGATATAAAATTCTTATAAGAGTATCTATAGGTACTAAAGCTGAAACGTCTTGGATTATATTTTAAAACAGTTTTTCATTAAAAACTGTTATGGGATTCAAATAAAGTACCACTCCCCGTTGTCCACTTTTATCCAAAATCTAAGCAACTTTTTCAATAAATGTAGAAACCTTAAATAGACATTTTCGGAAGTTTCATATGAGCATTATCGTGTACGAAAACGGTCATACAGATAGATTGTAAAAAAAGTAAAAACATGTCATCGATTATTGAACCATGTCAGCGAATTATGGGACCGTAATTCATGCTTATTCACTGAAAATTTAACGTCGAATGTTTGGACTTAAAACATTACCTCCATTACCTATGTACACAGTTTGTCGACAGGTAATATATGGAGAGATTTGTTTCGAAAACATTACGCTTCAAACTTCTTAGAAATGCAGCTTCAACGAATGTGTCTCGGATCTCTTCGGTAAAAACCGTAATTTCTCCTCATAATAGCAGCCTCATGAACTTGAACAAATTAATATATACGTTAAAACGTCTTGATTAGTACATTTCTATAAGAATTATATTGCATTTGTGTGCGGAGAAGATCTACTTGAATTTATTGAGTCCATTTCTTCGATGGGAATTAATATAAAATAATCGATTGGATATTGCAAAACAATGTTTCACAATTTCTTAAAGTGTACTTTTAAGTCATATATAATATTCTAACATGTCCCTACGTAACATATCTACCACATTTCTTAGATTCTATGGGGCAATCGATTTTTATGATATCTTTCCTTAACTTTAATACCTTCAGTAGGAGAAAATACTGATTCTAAAATATTAAAATAAGTAAAATGCTAAAATCCATCCTATATCTTTCTTTCATAAAATATTCCTTATTTAGGTATAATTTTTAATTCAACAAGTTACTTTCTTAGGCTACGATACAATTTTTTATGATCCTCATTACATGGTTTTATCTCCGATTTTATGAAAATAAAATCCTTGTATTTAGATAATTGAGGTTCCTATCAAGCTTACGAATTTTCCAAATTCTCTTTGCTTCTGTAACTGCTATTGCAACAACCTTTTTTTTTCAGACCTATTCATTTTCAGTCACTGAGTTACAAATTCCCTTAAATTATACATTAATCATAATACCATACTACTCATTCAGGCCAAAGAGTACAACCATTTTCTCTTTTTTTTAAAAAAAGTATTAATGACTAATTTATACCACTAAAAAAATTTAAATAAATGCTTTCTGGAACGGGAAGTATAAGTATAGGCTAATTTATTTTTTTCTTATTACTCGTAATTCAAACGCGCCTGTTCAAAAAAGAATACTTAATCTCATTTTATTCTATAATGCATTTTTGATATGTTTTTGAACTGTCTTATTTTTAAAGCACTATTTTCTAACTTTAGGGAGTTATAATAAAATGGCACATGTACCGTGCTTTGATCATTCTAATATAACAATCTTAAAAAAATAAACCTTAGTTATCATTTAACATTCTCAAGCTGAGACTTCTAGGCTAATGACTGCCAATGAAAATAAAAAAAAAGTTCTGGCGAGTTTGGAAAATCTAAGCAATCAAAACTAGATTACTTAACAGATACCTTTACTTTATATTTGAAAACAGATACGACCATTAATAACACTTTAAAGTGATAGGTATCCAACATTTAACTCAAATTATTGATACAACTTAGATGCAAATGAGGGAATTTCACAGAAGTATGATTTCATTTTAGTGCTTTTGCTCTGTCTTATTGTTAGGATGTTTTGACGAGTTCACCTTTGGTAAATTGAACCCAATTAAATGTGCATTCACTCTGACCAAGAAGACAATACCAACACTGCTAAGTTGCTGCCAGGGAATAATGATGTCTAATAATAATATTTATGGCAGCGAATGTACACTTAAATTGGACAAAAACAAAGACAGAAACTAGCAATCGAAACAAGCAAATAAACCATAGTATTTTTGATTTATTTATATTATAAAATATTTAGACACGGGCAGTCTCCAGCAGTTTCGGTATTCTAAGCAATCAGTACAGTTGACGTTCCATGCAAATTAAACATAATAGTAATTCAAAGCTAAATACAGCTTTATCTTGAACGTGGTTAGGAAGAAAAGTTTAGCTGGCGTACGTCCGAAAATTAGCGTCTTTGCCAAATGCCTATGTCCACCATCTTTGCAGCCATCCTTGGCTAGACCTAATATGTCTGTTACCTAATAATGACGTAATATGTTATCTTTGGCGACTGTCCATGAACAGTATGTTTGTAGATAGCCCAGATACGACCTAATATGCTACAAAATAATATTTTTGAATAGAAGACAGAGTAGAAGCGGACGAGACAATTTAAAAAATATTTTAAATAATTATTTTAATATTTAACCAAAATGATAACACAGAAAACGGACGACAGCATATTTGTAACGGTTTAGTCTAGATTCAGGTAAAAGTAACCCAATTATTATTGCATACATATCAACAGAATGTATCTACCTGCAGTATGTTCAAGTCGCATTTCTTTATACTTACTTTTTATATGTTAAAAACTATATAATCACAGAAATCTCAATTTAGCTGGCTGTCTTGATTTAGGAACATATTCTTTAAAAGTAGATTTTTCCTCAATCACATTGCAAATTTTGTCACCGATTTATTTTCATCATGTTAGTTGATTATATCTTCAAAGGTTATCAAATGGAGTACATATTATTGGAACAGTGCGTCAAATCAGAGAAATATAAAAGCTAAACCGTGGCGAGTGTTTTATTTTTATGTTTTATTTTATTTTTATGTTTATTCTTAGGTTTGTTTTATGTTAAACATATGAAGAACTATAAATATTCCACGATCTGTAATGCAGTGATTATGAGTATTTGGTGTTGCCATTAATAGAATTAAAATTTCCTTTCGGATTTATATTCCGCTTTTAAATGAGGTTCAATGGATGGAAAAGTGAAATCTCAAGGCTTCTTTTGAAAAGCAAATTCTTGATTCAAAGTATTCTATCTTTTAAGATATGCAATAAAATTTCGAAGAAAGTGAAACGCACGAGTAGAGAGAAGTGTATTTACATATGCAAATATTGCCAAACTCATGGACGAATGCCAGAGATAACCATCTTCCCATCATCAATAGCAAATTGCTTCCGCTCAAACAGGAAAGTTTAGTAAAAAAAATTCTTTTTATTTTTTACTTGAAATAAGCTATGATCGCGGCGCCTCGAGAAAGCATTGGGAACGCATGCTGAGTGCGGGCATCCGTAGCGTATATCTTCAGTCAGGTCCCTGTATTTGTACCTGTTGTTTCTAAAGACTTGGTGAGTATTACTCAAGTATATGTTCTACGTTTATTGGCGTTATCGTTCCTTATCATTACCATTATTGAGTTTTTTCTTTGTAAATGTGATATTACGGAGCTAAAATATTAAACAAATTACATCTTGTATAGTGCCGATTATATATATTATATTAGCCAAGTGTTGATCCCGACATTTATTATTTTATTTAAAAAATTAGATGGAACACTAGCTTGCATGCTTGCGTATGCTTCATTACAATAAATTTTTGTTTTAAAAATAAATAAATAAACATTTTTAACACGTTATGGAATCAAATGACAAACGTCTTTTGATTAGTATGATATAACTGCGTTTTATCATAGTTTATATTCAGCAGTTACTTTAAAGTAAATGAATTTTTAATAGCACAAAATCAAAAGTAATTTTGAGGGCAGCAACAATGCAGTCGTATTGTCAATTGTACTGCACAGCCTGAAATTTTGTATGAAAGATCTAGCATGTAAATTCCTTGATCATGATATTTATTATTTAATTAATTGAAAACTTTTTAAACCAGTAAAAATACTAGAAAACAAGTACAACAAATTAAATATTGAAAAGGCAAAAGATGGCTTGAAATTGCAATATATTATTTATTATAGTTATGAATATTAAGTTAAATTTTTTGAAAAATTTACTGTTGATCTATACCAATTTACACTTTTTCTCCAAAATTAAAAATAATTGTATGTAATAAATAATAAATGAAAATAATTTTTATTTTCTGCTCAATTTTTTAAACACAAAATATAATTTATTATAGCGGCTTTCATAAAAATTAAGCTATGTTTGAACGATCAAAGGAAACTCCGATATATTTTTCAATTATTTTATTAGAAATGAGTGCCTGTTGGTTATAGTTTACTTCATTCTCATTCCAAGCGTAATAAAGAGAGAAAAAAAGCATGTATTAAACAGATTAATTATTCATTAATTAGTCAAGTAGATTAAATTTCTTTTCTAAACTCGTATTTACACATGAAGATTAATTACATGCAGGAATTTTATATAGAATTTCATAACAATCGAATGATTATTCAATATCTGGAATAAAAAGAGGTATTTTTAGGGGTTCTATAAAAAAAAGAATTAATAAAGATGTTTATAAGATATATATATATTTATAAGATATTTATAAAAATAATTATAAGACATATATATTTATTTACATGCAAAGTATTTCTACTCGAAATTTTGTATACCATTTCTCTTTTTCTAAAACATTTCTTTTCTATGCACAGACGCAGAGAATTCTAAATTAAATGCGTCCTAGAAATAATGCTAGCTAGTTTAAGAAACCAACCTAATGAAAGTAAATTTCAAAATTTGGTAACAAAAATTAATTTGGTTATCAGAAATTAAGTAATAACTTTTATTGCAAGAGTTATTTTAGTTACAAGTACCTCTTCTGTTATTCTTAATTATCATAGCGATCTGAGTAATCTTAAGAGTAGATGGAAATGGTCCATCTCTGGAGGTATTCTTGGTTTCTAAATACGATAAAACTTTGCCTACATCTATCGGAAGTTTGATAACACCCAAAGTGGTAGAATCTGAAATTTACTCTTTGCTAGTTCCGCAAGCTCTCTAGAGACTTCCGTTTTGACAGAATTTGAAACCCAGGTGTCAAGAGATACTATGCCGTTTCAAATATCCATGCCTTCTCCAGGATTCGAACCGGAGTACATTGATATGGCAGACGGTTTTGCTAACTGTAATAACGTTCTTCTCAATAGGCAACAGATTCGTTAGTATTTCCTTGTAAGATGAAGAATATAAACGAAATGTAGCTAAAATTTTTACATGCCGGTTAAAACAATTATTTCTTACAATATGCAATGAACCTTTTCATGGTGAACATGAATGAATGAGAATAAGAAGGAATGAATATTTCTGAGAATAAGAAATATTTCTGAAAGTGTAAATAAACATCTGTGCTGCATATCATCTCCTTATGACGATCACTTCTGAGAACCAAATCGTTTGAAACTCTGTGCTATATTCTTATACAGAGTTCCATGTGCTTTAATAATATATTGTTTTAATAATTATTTTTAATAACATTAATGCATTCTTTTAATATACAAATTAATTAGGGTGATTTCGTTTCGCAAAATCTAGTGCATTATAGTACATTAATCTATTGCTAACTGAAGTAGTGCATCGCTGTATAACATATTCAAGCGTAAGAAGTGCATAATCATGTCATAAAACAAATTATTTGGTAATAATACAATATTGCATATTTGTTAACAACTAGGGTCTTTTAAAAATTTTTGCATAGCTATATAATAGTGAAATTTGTATAATTATGTGCATATGTATACATCGTACAATCGTGTATAAGGCATATTTGTAAAACTATGCATAAAGTACATTCGTATAATTTTGTAACATTTTCAACTGCTATGCACCGTTTTAAGGGTCGCACAAAATCTTTTTTTAATTTAGATATATAAATCTAGTCTGAAATGTCGATCTAATTTTTTTGGGTTTGACAGTTAGTATTATAAGGTATCTCTCCCGCTTTCCTAGCGTACCTTCGTGGTGTAGTGGTTCTGCACGCTGGGCAGAACCACTACGCCACTACACCGCAGTATTCCAGAGGTCCGCGGTTCGATTCCCGGCGAAGGCGTTATTTATTTTTCATCTTGCCTGCTTTTCAAAAATTACCTAATGTAAAATAAAAAAAAAAAAAAAATACGATGGCTTTGCTCTACGCGAACCAGCAACCTTTAATTAATTTTCTGCAATTCAGGATCTTCCCCCTAGATCAGTACCTTCCAGAACATTCGCACCTATTACATAATCGCTACTATAAATACTGAGTGCGCGCCATTTTGCGTCAGTAGCTTCTCTTTCCTTGTGCTGCTAGGACCTATGCTGCTACGCTTCTCATCTTTCTTTCTTTGTTAGAATGTTATGACGTAGAAAGTCAAAATTTAATCGTACTTAGTAACTCACTATTGAATATATAATTTGGAGAACTTCGTCAGAAAAGGAAATTGATCTGCTATTTGAATTAAATAAATATGTACAGTTAAAAGTGAAATTCTTCTATGTATCGTCATTGGATATCCTCCTTACCATTCTGCAAAAACCATGCCTGAACTTTGATGCCAAGCTTCATCACGACTGCCGAAATATCACATATATATTCCATGCAGATAGCTAAAAGGCTTTGATTCACAGTCGTTGTTAGGGGCTATCCCCGTGGCGTATTACTATTATCACTACTAATATTAATAATAAAAGGGATAAAAGTAATAATAACAATTAATACGTAAAATATCCGTTGCCATTAATGCCTGCGTTATATCGTATTAGACCTAATTTGTAATCATATGTCAATGATTACAAATTAGGTAGACATCTACTACAGTTACGTTTAGGAAACGTAAACTGTAGTAGATGTCTACATCTGACACTCATTTTTGAAGCAGTTTCACAGTCTATGCAAGATCTTTACTTCTTTAATTTTTGCAACAGTTTAGCAATCAGTAAATAATTTTAACCTTATTAAATCTTTATTTCTACAGATTGTAGGAGGATATTACGAAGGCGTAAACCTCTCCCTAACACTTACCCGTCAAAGTTAGATGTGCTTCGCGCATGTGTCTTTGGATACCTGATCAGAGGTTCATCAACCTAATCGTCCTTTCTTTAGCAGAATTCCAAGGCCTTTTGCCAAATCGAGGGAAAAAATTTCACACCTGTTATGAATAAATAATAGGAGATTGCTGTGATAGACGTGAGATAAGTAATGACAATAGAAGTATTTTAAATGATATATATAATTACCGGAACTAGGGAACTGGAAATGGCGAAACTAATGTGCTGACCATAGCACAAGAAGAAAATACGGGAAGACTAACTTAATTTCCGACAATTGGTTATATATTGTCTAGTTTCACCAAAATCTTATCGTCTTTGTCATCTTAATATGTGTTATTCATTTTACACAATTGATTTTGAAATTTATTTAAATATGTGTAAATCTTTTAATAAATAAGCTCTTTCAATGATGGTACTTTCAATAAGTAAGGGATATACGTTTATTTCGTAAAGCGTTTGTAAATCAAACCAATTTGAATTTTAAGCTTTTTTAAGCGGAGTCTTTTTCTTTCAGTTAATAACTATTAACTGTGTCTGCAATCATGAATCAAATATCAACACAAGAGGATATTAAAAGTTTTATGAGATCGGTTGAAAACATAAGACAATTTTCATGTAATTTGCATCGAAAAATAAATATGTATTAGTGAAGTAAAATTAAATTATACTCTTGTAATCATAATTTGATTCCTTTAATAGTGTTTATAATACTTTTATCGGAAATGAGTATTGCATATTATTTCCGTAAACTTAGACATTATATTCATTGCGTTATCAATGTATTCTTTGCAAGTACTGTATCCACCGTAGAGTCTAGGCAATGATAATTATATAAATTCACCTGCTGTATAGCAGCTTCTAAAACTGTGCTTGCTGATATTGAAATAAACAGTTCCTGTAGAATTCTTACATTCAAATTAGCATAAAAGGGGGAGGAGAGAAAGTGATATAACCAACACGCGAAATGAAAAGTATGAGAAAATAAATAAAAGTTATTATTCAATGAATCATCTTAACTCGCTAATAAGATTATTAAAATTAAATAATTTAACTCATCCCAGATAATATATCCTACTGCCAACAAAATAGCTTTGGCGGGAATAGACCCGGCCGCAGTGAAATAGGCTGGTTGCATGAGGTTTTCTTGTCTGTCCGCATAGGTAACATAAATAAATTTAGTTTAAAAATTTCTTCATAAAACTACCTTCCTTCCCGAAAGTTTACTGCCGTAATGAGTTTGACCATAAAGAAAAAGTAAAGAAAAAAACTAATTACAAAGGGAAAAAATAATTTCATCATTGATTAACTGATTACGGTAAAACTAGAATGGAGGATCTGATCAGTTTTTTCCTTCCTTTCCTTTA